AGTTACATACAGATAACATGCATGTTTGTTTCGAATTTGAAGTGTGTGAAACCTATGTCTGACCGTACTGTAGATAACTGTTAGAAGATAAAATACTCGATCTAAAAAGTATACTTGTCTCCCCAAAAAACAAAAGAAAAGAAAGTATACTTGTCATGACAAATGATCGATGTATGTAATATTACCTCCGTCCCAAATTAGTTGTCTTAGTTTTGTCTAGATACAGATATACCTAACACTTTAATGTGTCTAGATACATCTATACCTAGACAAAACTATTAAGACAACTAATTCAGGATGGAGGGAGTACAACTATAATGTTGCACAACTTGGTTCTTTTAGTATTATTGCCATGGTTGCCTGCTATTGAGTTATTAATTTGAGAAATATCATTTAGATTTAAAGAAAAAACAAGGATTAGGGAATAAATAGTAATTGGATAAAAAAGGGGGTCTTCGTGTTTTCCATGGAACTTCCCATAATACTTTATCTCGTTATCAAAACAGTCCCTTCTTTAATTCTGAAACACTGACCGGCTATTTAAATTGTTCCTTAGTTACAACGGAGTGATCATTGATTACACAACACTAAAGAATTTTGAAGGAAAACAAAGAAAGCACATCATATGGTGCTTATAATTCTCAGCGCAAATAAAAGTTCCCAGAGTTGATACTCACACATATACACATAGAAATGACACACATCTGCTTTATATGGTCTTTTATATTTGAGGCTATATTTTGGCACAAGCTTATGTTACTAGGAGTTGGTTCTTTTATAGACAAAGAAACTAACTCTACTAAGCACGGCCAACTTTATAGGCAATGGTAAGCATCAACTTTGCTTCTACTGCTCTTCCTTGCCAACATGAAACATCTAACTATGTTGAATGCCTGAATACATCGGTAACTTGCACATATTATTTCGTTGGTAAGGCTGTAGAAAATATCTTTAATTCGTCCTACTAAAATTACAGTTTGCTTGTTAGCTTCAAGTACAGAGATGAACACATATACTCCTCCGATCCGTCCAAACATAAACTACTCCCTCCGCAAACTAATATAAGAAACGCTCTTATATTAGAGGGAGTACATGACAAAATTAATAGTAACAAAAGCAATGTACTGTTATTATCGCATTTACCAATTGGCTATGCACGAACCTATCGAGGCCTGCCTGGTACGTTCGAACGTGGTTTGGTTAGTCACACTATATATGTAGCCAAATTTTAAGACATGTCTACATACTTAGTTGGGAGAAGTGATGTGCTTAACAGTGTTGGCAGGAAAAATCTACCAACATGGAGATAGAAAAATTACCGAATATGGCTAGATCATATGTACTGAAAGTTTAGGCCAAGACATGGAAAAACGACCTGTCATAATATATTAATGATCGAAACATACTACTATGATTTCATACAGAAGTTTAAGGTGGATTAGCCCGCGGTCTACCAAAGTAATAAGCTCTCTATCGTACACTTAAATTAAGACGAATCAGCTGATGAGGGTCAACGCATGAAACCCTACAGCCCCAGGCGAAACATGCAGTTTTCCTGCTTAGGACTGAACTAAAACTCGTCAAATGCGAAGGAAACCCGGATCAGAAAGCTCCCAGAAACTACAGTATCGCATGTACCACACAAACTGACAGGGAGCGCGGACCCCAACCAATCAAGCAAGAAATCAGCGTACGGTGCCACTGTGACCAAGGTCACACAGCCGAATCACAGCCCATACCTCGAACGGAACTGACGCAACTGGAGAGCGGAAGAGAAATCAGGTCAAATCAGCGGTGGTACTGCGAAGTGCCAAGACAAGAGAAATTATTACTTTGCTTCTATAGGTGAAGCTCGCAGTCCCGAGTCCGGACGTCACATGAGCTTTTTTCTCCATCTGTAGCCGCAGCCTTCCTTCCTCCATAGGATGAGCCACTTCTAATACAGTAGCAGATAAGATGGGGAACAGATGATTATCACTGAAGGAAACAAATTTGTCCAACGGAAAAAAAACTTGTTAGGGAAAAATAATCATGATAATTTATGCTCGATGTTTAGTCCAAATACTACAGTACCATCGGCGAAATATAATTACATTAGAAGTGGACATGGACAATAAATATTGCATGTGATATTTACTATAATAGAAAAATGTTATACTAAATAATTACATTTTCTATTTCTTGTAAATACTTTTATTAATAATTTTCTATACTAAATAAAAAAATGTACTATAGTAAAGTACTCCATCCGTTTCTAAATCTAAGTCTTTCTAGAGATTCCAATATGAACTACGAAGCAAAATGAGTGAATCCACACTCTAATATATGTCTATATACATCCGTATGTAGTTCATATTGAAACCTCTACAAAGATTTATATTTAGGAACGGAGGGTGTAAGTTCCTTCAGTGCGTAATTGTTCAAGACCTATCATTAACTTGTTGGTAAGCATACAATATAGAAATCAACACTTATCTCACGAAATGTAGCCCAATTATTCTATAGACTAGTGTTAGTACCACTTGAACATATTTTTGTGAGTTAAAAGAATAGTCTAATATAACATGAAATTTTAGCAAAGCATAGGGAACACTCTATTTTCGTGTAATACAATTGGATTGATTTATCAATAGAGTTACATACAGATAACATGCATGTTTGTTTCGAATTTGAAGTGTGTGAAACCTATGTCTGACCGTACTGTAGATAACTGTTAGAAGATAAAATACTCGATCTAAAAAGTATACTTGTCTCCCCAAAAAACAAAAGAAAAGAAAGTATACTTGTCATGACAAATGATCGATGTATGTAATATTACCTCCGTCCCAAATTAGTTGTCTTAGTTTTGTCTAGATACAGATATACCTAACACTTTAATGTGTCTAGATACATCTATACCTAGACAAAACTATTAAGACAACTAATTCAGGATGGAGGGAGTACAACTATAATGTTGCACAACTTGGTTCTTTTAGTATTATTGCCATGGTTGCCTGCTATTGAGTTATTAATTTGAGAAATATCATTTAGATTTAAAGAAAAAACAAGGATTAGGGAATAAATAGTAATTGGATAAAAAAGGGGGTCTTCGTGTTTTCCATGGAACTTCCCATAATACTTTATCTCGTTATCAAAACAGTCCCTTCTTTAATTCTGAAACACTGACCGGCTATTTAAATTGTTCCTTAGTTACAACGGAGTGATCATTGATTACACAACACTAAAGAATTTTGAAGGAAAACAAAGAAAGCACATCATATGGTGCTTATAATTCTCAGCGCAAATAAAAGTTCCCAGAGTTGATACTCACACATATACACATAGAAATGACACACATCTGCTTTATATGGTCTTTTATATTTGAGGCTATATTTTGGCACAAGCTTATGTTACTAGGAGTTGGTTCTTTTATAGACAAAGAAACTAACTCTACTAAGCACGGCCAACTTTATAGGCAATGGTAAGCATCAACTTTGCTTCTACTGCTCTTCCTTGCCAACATGAAACATCTAACTATGTTGAATGCCTGAATACATCGGTAACTTGCACATATTATTTCGTTGGTAAGGCTGTAGAAAATATCTTTAATTCGTCCTACTAAAATTACAGTTTGCTTGTTAGCTTCAAGTACAGAGATGAACACATATACTCCTCCGATCCGTCCAAACATAAACTACTCCCTCCGCAAACTAATATAAGAAACGCTCTTATATTAGAGGGAGTACATGACAAAATTAATAGTAACAAAAGCAATGTACTGTTATTATCGCATTTACCAATTGGCTATGCACGAACCTATCGAGGCCTGCCTGGTACGTTTGAACGTGGTTTGGTTAGTCACACTATATATGTAGCCAAATTGTAAGACATGTCTACATACTTAGTTGGGAGAAGTGATGTGCTTAACAGTGTTGGCAGGAAAAATCTACCAACATGGAGATAGAAAAATTACCGAATATGGCTAGATCATATGTACTGAAAGTTTAGGCCAAGACATGGAAAAACGACCTGTCATTATATATTAATGATCGAAACATACTACTATGATTTCATACAGAAGTTTAAGGTGGATTAGCCCGCGGTCTACCAAAGTAATAAGCTCTCTATCGTACACTTAAATTAAGACGAATCAGCTGATGAGGGTCAACGCATGAAACCCTACAGCCCCAGGCGAAACATGCAGTTTTCCTGCTTAGGACTGAACTAAAACTCGTCAAATGCGAAGGAAACCCGGATCAGAAAGCTCCCAGAAACTACAGTATCGCATGTACCACACAAACTGACAGGGAGCGCGGACCCCAACCAATCAAGCAAGAAATCAGCGTACGGTGCCACTGTGACCAAGGTCACACAGCCGAATCACAGCCCATACCTCGAACGGAACTGACGCAACTGGAGAGCGGAAGAGAAATCAGGTCAAATCAGCGGTGGTACTGCGAAGTGCCAAGACAAGAGAAATTATTACTTTGCTTCTATAGGTGAAGCTCGCAGTCCCGAGTCCGGACGTCACATGAGCTTTTTTCTCCATCTGTAGCCGCAGCCTTCCTTCCTCCTTTTACTCCCAGCATCGATCCCATTGGCTGTTCATCATTAATTTCGGCCTTGTGCTCCATGTACCAGCCACGATCTCATGTGTGTCCTTCATTTTTCAGAACCTCTTCGACTCGCTAGCAGCCGTGATCCAAAGGAAAGAAAGAAGGAGAAGAGGCCAGGGAGAATGCAGGCTGCCAGGCTCCATGAGATACTGCGGGGGGAGTGAGAGGGAGCTTGAGAAATCGAGGGGAGAAAAAAAAGCAAAAGCCAAAAGCCAAAAGGTGCATGCGTGTGTGTGTGTGACAAAAGTGAGAGAAGGAAGAGCGGCCTCAAAGGTTGTGGTGTGGTGTGTGACATTTGTGGGTGAGACGGAGACAAAAGGCAGAGCGAGCTAGCAGGCCTGTGCTTTTTGATTAGCTGTGTGCACCGGGTCCGTACGGACACTTTGGGTAAGAATGGCAGCAGCGCTACAAGAGTTCGCGGCCTCCAATAATAGCAACCGCGGCATTGCAAACGCCGGCTAGACCGCTAGACGGCCGGACGGTGTCGTCGCCTCGCCCATGAACCCAAGAACCCACAAGCAGCAACCGGATTTCGAACAGCAGCAGGGAAACTAGATTCAAGATTTGGCGTTTGCGTGGGGGAGGGTACCTGGTGGCGCTGGCGAACTCGTAGAGCCTGCCGCGAGGGGAGAAGACGACGAGCGCAACCTCGGCGTCGCAGAGCACGGAGAGCTCGAAGGCCTTCTTGAGTAGCCCGTTCCTGCGCTTGGAGAAGGTCACCTGCCGGCTCGTCGCGTTCTCTATCCGCTTCATCTCCGTCTTCCCCCGCACCATCCTTCCTGCCGCTGGCGGAGCTCGATCGATCCCCTCTCCTCCGCCGAAAACGGGCCAATCACCAACTGCACAGGGCGGTAAACAACCAACGAATTAAGTGAGTAAATCCGAGCCAGCGGAGATCAAACGCGGTAAAAACGGGTAGATCTGAGAGGGCAGGGCGCTCACCAGAAATGGCTAAGCGAGCGAGGAGAAGGAGAGGAGCGGGGAGGACGGCGCGTCCGCGGCTTCCCCTGCCCGCGTAGCCCGGAGAGGAAAGGGCGTGGTGTGGGGTGGGTGCGGGCACTGTGCACTGGATTTATAAGGTAGGGAGGAAAAAACTCGACTGCTGATTAGTGGACGGGGTGGGAAGGCGGCCGGAGGGAGGGAAGGTATCGAAGGGGTAACAAAAGGAAGCCACCCGGCCAAATAAAGAAGGCGACTGCGCGAGGAATTTCCCGTCCTAGGAAAAATCAGGGGACCCGCCCAGGAGCCCCCGTTGGAGCGCCATTGGCCGTCGCCGTTGGTTCGCGGAAATTAACGTGGAACTCCCGCCCGGAGGATGACGATTTTGTGGCCGCAACCCTCGAACCAATGCGTATTTGCAGCCAAGTTTAGCTGTGTGGATGTGTGTGGGTGATTGCCAATGCTAAGAGCATCTCCAAGGGATGCGCATCGAGCGACGCGCTAAAACAGTTTTTTGCGCGTGGAAATGGCGGTTTTTGCGCGCGGCAGGGCGGTGGCTCCAGCAGCGGCTGCAAAATATTGCGCGGCGACCCACTCTAACAGACGCTGCAAATAAACGACGCACGCGAGCAAGCAGAACACAAACTAGTTCAACCAAATAGATAAAATTCAACGATACAAATAGCACAAACTTGTCTAATAAACTATCCAATACAAACTAGTCCGATAAAACTAGAAACTACGGTGACTACGGTGACCTCTCGTCGTCTTCCTCCTCCTCGCTTGTGTCCTCTTCCTCCGACGTATCAATAAATGCGTCTGCCCTTCGATCGTCATCTTCCGAGAAGAATGATGCATGTCCCATTTTGCACTGCGATATGGCCAGTGCCTTCCGACGACGCTTGTCCTCCGTCCTGCGCGTCGCCTTGCCCTCCTCTCCGCACAGAAGGCGTTCTCGTTGGCGACGTCCTCCTGGTGGCTCCGGCGCCACTCCGCCATGGCTCGCTCGTCTGCCTGAGCGATGAGGAGGCGGCGTTGCTGCCGACGGTGTTCCTGACGGTCGGCGTCAGTTACTAGCCGCGGCGGAGGGGCGAGGTCCTGCGTCTGCTCGCGCGTCCAGACGTCCCGAAAGTTCATCTGTGCGCGAGGCCTCGACAGGCGCCACGCTGCCGCGTCGTACGCGCGGGCGGCTTCGTGGGGTGTGTCGAAGGTGCCGAGGCCAAGGTGCACGCCGCCGCACCGAATCTCAACGTAGAAGGTAGCCCGAAGCTCCCCGGTGGCGCGGCGGCATGGTGGCGCGTCGGCGGCGAGGCAAGAAAGCGACAGAGGAAGAGAGAGCGGGAGAGGGCGCGTTGCAAGGTGGAGAGCGATGAGAGGGCGTGTGGCGGGCGCTGCATTTTATAGGCGCGCCGGATACCACGTGCCAAATCTAGCGCGTGCCCGGCCGCTTTTTCCCCAGTGCGCGCAATCGTTTCCCGCGCGCCTGAGTTTCCCGCCTGCGCGGGAGCGCGCGAAACCGTCCCGCGCGTGGTTTTTGCAGCCACTGTTGGAGATGCTCTAAGTACCAACATGTGGTTAGATAGTTAGGAGGACAGTGGTATCCCAGCCCACTAGGATTCAAGTCCTGATGCTCGCATTTTTTTGAATTTATTTTAGGATTTCCGACGATGCACTTTTAGTGGGAGGGGAAGTTCCTATCGATGATGAGACGCCTATGATGACTTCTTAAATCTCAAGATGATATGCCGACTCAGTCTCTCGGAGATGCTCATGGGGGTAGGGTGTGTGTTCATCGGGGTGAGTGTATGTGTGTATATATGAGTGCTTGCGTTTGTACTGTGTTGATAAAGTATAAAATAAACGTAAGATAAGGGCATCTCAATGCCGACCCTCAAACCATCCACAACTATCCGGACGAGCGATGCGGGCGTGTTTTGCCATCCGATGCGGACGTTTGTCAGTCCGCCGCCCGGTCCGGATGTGCTTTTCCCTTCAAACTAGAAAGAAACTTGGGGGGCGTCCAGACCGTTGTCACGCCCGCTTTTTGACTGCCCTAGTGCTTGAGTCAAATCCAGTAGATGTTGGGGTAGGGGGTACCGATACTTCTGATAGGCGTTCGGATTCTGTGAAGAGGAAGGGTGAAGCGGCATAGTAACAAAAATTATTTACCTCAGTTAAGAACAAAGGTTTATCAAACCAATAGGAGACACCACTCAGACAAGATAAACGATACCTGCACACACACACACACACTAACAAATACTTGCACGCAACAACAACAAGGGGGTTGTCAATTCCTCGTTCTCGCGAATTGGAAGCATTAAATCTGGTAGTGGTAGATAGATAAAATAAAAATAAAAATAAAAAAATTGCAGCAAATATTTTTAGGGTTTTAGTAAATATTGTTGGGTTTCGTAGTAATTTCAAAAATTTTCCTACGCGCACACAGGATCATGTGATGCATAGCAACGAGAGGAGAGTGTTGTCTACGTACCCAACGCAGACCGACTGCGGAAGCGATGACACGACGTAGAGGAAGTAGTCGTACGTCTTCACGATCCAACCGATCAAGCACCGAAACTACGGCACCTCCGAGTTCGAGCACACGTTCAGCTCGATGACGATCCCCGGACTCCGATCCAGCAAAGTGTCGGGGAAGAGTTCCGTCAGCACGACGGCGTGGTGACGATCTTGATGAACTACAGCAGCAGGGCTTCGCCTAAACTCCGCTACAGTATTATCGAGGAATATGGTGGCAGGGGGCACCGCACACGGCTAAGGAATCGATCACGTGGATCAACTTGTGTCAACTTGTGTGTTTAGAGGTGCCCCTGCCTCCGTATATAAAGGAGGAGAGGAGGGGAGGTTGGCCGGCCAAGGGGGGGAGGCGCAGGAGAGTCCTACTCCCTCTGGGAGTAGGATTCCCCTCCAATCCTAGTCCAACTAGGATTCCTCGGAGGGGAAAAGAGGAGGAGGGGCCCGGCCACCTCTCCTAGTCCTAATAGGACTAGGGGAAGGGGGTGGCGCGCAGCCCATCTAGGGCAGCCCCTTCTCTTTTCCACTAAGGCCCACTATGGCCCAAATAGCTCCCGGGGGGTTCCGGTAACCCTCTCGGTATTCCGGTAAAATCCCGATTTCACCCGGAACACTTCCGACATCCAAATATAGGCTTCCAATATATCAATCTTTACGTCTCGACCATTTCGAGACTCCTCGTCATGTCCGTGATCACATCCGGGACTCCGAACAACCTTCGGTACATCAAAATGCATAAACTCATAATATAACTGTCATCGTAACCTTAAGCGTGCGGACCCTACGGGTTCGAGAACAATGTAGACATGACCGAGACACGTCTCCGGTCAATAACCAATAGCGGGACCTGGATGCCCATATTGGCTCCTACATATTCTACGAAGATCTTTATCGGTCAGACCGCATAACAACATACGTTGTTCCCTTTGTCATCGGTATGTTACTTGCCCGAGATTTGATCGTCGGTATCCAATACCTAGTTCAATCTCGTTACCGGCAAGTCTCTTTACTCATTCCGTAATACATCATCTCACAACTAACATATTAGTTGTAATGCTTGCAAGGCTTATGTGATGTGTATTACCGAGAGGGCCCAGAGATACCTCTCCGACAATCGGAGTGACAAATCCTAATCTCGAAATACGCCAACCCAACATCGACCATTGGAGACACCTGTAGTACTCCTTTATAATCACCCAGTTACGTTGTGACGTTTGGTAGTACCCAAAGTGTTCCTCCGGTAAACGGGAGTTGCATAATCTCATAGTCATAGGAACATGTATAAGTCATGAAGAAAGCAATAGCAACATACTAAACGATCGGGTGCTAAGCTAATGGAATGGGTCATGTCAATCAGATCATTCTACTAATGATGTGACCTCGTTAATCAAATAACAACCCATTGTTCATGGTTAGGAAACATAACCATCTTTGATTAACGAGCTAGTCAAGTAGAGGCATACTAGTGACACTTTTGTTTGTCTATGTATTCACACATGTATTATGTTTCCGGTAAATACAATTCTAGCATGAATAATAAACATTTATCATGTTTATGAGGAAATAAATAATAACTTTATTATTGCCTCTAGGGCATATTTCCTTCAGTCTCCCACTTGCACTAGAGTCAATAATCTAGTTCACATCGCCATGTGATTTAACAGCAATAGTTCACATCATCATGTGATTAACACCCATAGTTCACATCGATATGTGATCAACACCCAAAGGGTTTACTAGATTCAATAATCTAGTTCACATCATTTATGTGATTAACACCCAAAGAGTACTAAGGTGTGATCATGTTTTGCTTGTGAGATAATTTAGTCAACGGGTCTGTCACATTCAGATCCGTAAGTATTTTGCGAATTTCTATGTCAACAATGCTCTGCATGGAGCTACTCTAGCTTATTGCTCCCACTTTCAATATGTATCTAGATCGAGACTTAGAGTCATCCAGATCTGTGTCAAAACTTGCATCGACGTAACTTTTTACGACGAACCTTTTGTCACCTCCATAATCGAGAAATATATCCTTATTCCACTAAGGACAATTTTGACCGCTCTCCAGTGATCTACTCCTAGATCACTATTGTACTCCCTTGCCAAACTCAGTGGTATGGCATACAATAGATCTGGTATACAGCATGGCATACTTTATAGAACCTATGACTGAGGCATAGGGAATGACTTTCATTCTCTTTCTATTTTTCTGCCGTGGTCGGGCTTTGAGTCTTACTCAACTTAACACCTTGCAACACAGGCAAGAACTCCTTCTTTGACTGTTCCATTTTGAACTA